CCAGGATTCAAAGATTGCTCAAATGCGGCCCCCATATTTGCTAGGGTGTTTGATATTAACCGTAAATATGAGCCAATCCTAGATGCACAACCGAGGTTTAGATTTACTAGGCGGGTTGCATAACCCTGCCAGCACCAGCCGCGGCTGGCCACGCCTTGCCGCCGCGGCAAGACGTGGCTACGGCGCGGCCAGACGTGGCAATTTGGTGTGGCTTAGGCGCGGCCTTCGACACCACAGCCACGGCTGGCCCCACCATTCGAAAAAAAATGCGTGGCGGCGCCCCCCATTCTCCATTCGTTCCCCGCCCCTTTATGGCTTCCGTTTTTTATTTGCGAGCGCACTTGCTCTAGACTGTCGGCTAGCGCAGTACGATTACATGTCACGGAATCCACCCAGCTTCGGCTACAGCAAATCAGCGATAAACATCCCGCGTAAGTGCACAACCGGACAACCTAGTTAGCGTGCACTCCATCCCACGGCATAGTAAAGTGGACAGACGATGGTTAGAAACGACGGTTTATTGAGTATTTGAAAATGAGAATTCGGTAAGAAAAATACATGTGGGGATGCAGTTCTCCAACGGACATTAAAGGGTTTCCACTGGTTACTTGCGGTTCCTGCAAAAAAAAAGAACTGTGGTAAAACATGAGTGATGCTTTTGTCATTGAAGTAATCCATTATGCTAATAGTAGGAGAAATGCAATTCCTAGGTGGCGTGTCATAGGGGGGGGGACTTCGTTCGGGGCAGACCAGAGGGGGGTCTGGCGTTCCGAGTAGTGAATTCGTCTGCCTGTCACCAGACACTGGAATGTCATGCACACAGTTCTATGTACAGGACAATAATCGACCACCGATGGAGCTACACTGGATTCTCATTTAAATGCGACTAATTTGGCCCCCTCCCTCGTTGACTGCGGAGATAATTGGTGACCCCTATGGTCCACATCATCACTGCCGCGTGGGAAGAAAATTCATAAAACCGAATGGGGGGCAAGCTAATTGGTGTACTTGTTGATTGAGCTGTCGGCGAAAGACGACTAGGCGTCTATCAACCCACCCTAGCATGTAATCATCGCCTCGGCCAACAATCTCAGGGCTGAAGCAGAGAAGCCAGGACGTCGTCTGTCAAATTAATTTGCTTGTCCGTATTCGGTTTTACGAACCACGTTGACAGGAGGCAGTAACGGCGTGAAGTAATTAGCGACGCTAATTATCTACGCAGTCAACTAGGGCGGGCGCGGCACTGGTTACAGTAACATACGGGTCCGACACAGACCCGAAGCCGGTCAACGAGGGCCGGGTAAAGTGAGCTGTGTCTCACTTTTCGAACACTAGACATAGGTAGAGATAAAGTGTGCTAGCAGCAGTTCTTTGTAAGTTAACTTACGTGTGTTTCGGAGGGGAAAGTTGTGGACATGCGAGGTCATCGGTGGGCACTCCATGAAACTGAACAAATTTGGGCAGTAATTCAAAGGAAATTGACGTACTGTGTGAATATTCCGCCTGCGTTTCGCTCGTCCACCATAACGGTCCTTCGACCCATGGAACCAATTAATGGCGGTCAGTCGAAGTACCTCCCTGTTGCAGTTGCTGAAACGGGGGTTTTGGCCGATGGCATCTGTATGTGCCAATAAGCAGAAAGCGGACCTACCGTTGATGATGCTAAATAACGGACAGGCAAGGAACGGCCGCTTCTCCTTGGATCCGCCCCTCCGGCAGAAAGTGTAACAAAGCGGCGGACCAATAAGAGCAGTCAAAAGATTTCTGACGAAGTCTTTTTCACTCCGACCTCCCACCACGGCCAGCTGTTTGATCTGAAAACAGTTAAGCAAATACACAAATACCGCCTTGTCTGCCAACTCGGCCTCAGTAGTTAGCCGACGAACGAAGTCTTCGTAGGCTTCGACTGTGCACAGTGGCAAATGCAGACGAGAGGGCCCGACGTCGGCAGCAACGGCACTCACCTTTAATGCACTGACAGCATCATTAACTGTTGCCTGCAGTTGCCGCACACTGCTGTTGAGGGCGACCATTTGCTCGGCCAAGAAGTCGACTTTTTTCCTAATAGAGTGTCAATGAGACAGTCAACAGTCTTACTCGAGAGACGCTAACCGAACGTTTACGTCAGTCATATCGTTCTGCGCCTGCAGGTTACATGCAGGTTCGGTAGCAGGCACTGCCGCAGGCGCCGGCATTTCCCTAGACGGCTTTCGGTAAAAATTAATAAAAGGGGCTTACCGATACGAAGTCAATGGCGTAGGTTGACTGTGCTGAGAGATGACTTGAGGCATCTGTTCGTCCGTTCTTGACGTACGAATAATTACCGATAAATATGCTTACTGCGGTATTCGTGGTGGTGTTGGCCAACCAAGTAGCTGCCTCGGACGATAAAGTAGTTCGTCGGAATCAGACGATGCTTCGTCTGATTCCGACGTCAGCCTACGGACATACCTGTAAGAACAGATTACCAGTATGGAAAATGTACTTTTTCCTCATCCCCCTGCCTAATTTGCCCGGCTCGGAGCTGGAAAGGTTGTCCGATAGTTCTGCTTTTCGGACCAGCTGTCTGGCCTTCAGCAGTGTCAGATTACTTTTCATTTGCCTGACGGCGTACACCTTGGTGCCGTCTGGTGGCCGCCTGTTATTATTCAGCAGGACGGCCCGCTCTTTGTGGTTCTTAGGCCACATAACGCTACCAACGTCATAAAACCAGGCTGCAGCCACCACGGCCACAGCCTTGTCATTTACGAACTCCACAACGGAATACATCTACAGGGAAATTTATATGTTCACATAAACAATGTACACAAGATTCAGAGCGCACGCACAGTGTGAAGTAAGGGAATCAGAAAAAAACTACCGTCAATGTCAAACGGAACATATTTACAGACGATGTCTGAAAGGGCGGCAGTTGAAGGAGTGTCTGACAAACGGGAGGCTTTAAACATGTAAAAAGGGGAGGAGGGAATAGATGCCTTTAAAAGGTCCTCACAGTCAAGGAAAGGGCGGTAAGTTATGCCCGTGGACGAAACTGATGTCAGTATGCACGGTCTGTTTCCAATAAGTACCACATTATCGGGCTGCTTAGTTGACAGAATAAAGTCTTCGTGGAAAACAGCAGTGGATCCGCGAGGCAGTTTAAATGCCCGTGCCACTCCCTCGTCGTCGTCCAACAGCATTGGGCATGTCGGTACCTCAGGCAAGCGTCTTTCAGAAAAGCGCTTGAAGACCTGCGCGGCTACGTGTGTTGGCCCTTTTATACTGCTGCGGACACTTTGTAAAAAGGACTCGAAAGGAAATGCCGAGAAATTATCCAGCACTCCAAACCGAGCCACATCGTCATACAGGTGAAGCAGGCAGTGGACATTGTAAATAATATCCGAAGGGCTATACAAGGTGGGGAAATTAACTACAAAGCGATTTAGCAGAAGCCGGCCGTATTCTCCCCAGGTTATATGCAATACCGGATGGCAGAATATGTGCACTGCGAGAGAAAACTGTAAAAAGTGTTGATACCGGGCTTCGCTTAAAGAGGAGGACAAAACGACGGGGCCTATGTACAGAAGAAATTGCCTATATTCGGCAGCCTTCCAGAACTCCAGGCAATCGAGTGTTCTGCATTTACGCGAAAACTCGGCCGGCAAACATTGGCTGCACATCTCAATGGACGCATTCAATGAGTTAGAGTGCCTGCTGGAGCCCAGACGCCAAATATGCAGTAACTTCCGCATGACGCCCAGACAAACCAGGTGCATATAGTCCAGTGGGAAAGAGACCACCATATCTATGGGTAAATCCTCGAACGGAGACCTGCCCTTGTGGTGCTGTTCCTGTTTTCGCAACCTGAATGACCTGTCGTCACGCAGACGCCCACTGCATACTGCAAACGTCATGCGGTTTGCAATACGTTTGCCCATATGGGAACACCTGCGGTGGTTACAGTTAAAAGTACGACGCAACATACCTGTCGCATCCGTAATAGCCATTGTGAGCTTTAACTCGCCGCACAAAACATCGGGCAGGGGTGTCGCAGATGACGTTGTCTAAGCTCACCTTGACGATATTTTGCGTATGTGGATTACGCAGACCACTGGCCAGGAGGTCTTTCAGCTCGCCAACACAGTCGCCCAAGAAGTCGTCCAACGGATCGGGTTTGCCGGGACCGCAGAACACTCCAACAATGAAGGGCTGACCAACAACCGGATGGCGAACACGAGCGAGAATCGGCCACAGGCCCTGACTCGACCCCTTAAATATCTTCATGCCGTCGATATGCAGTTGGATGTGTATTTCAGGAACGGTTGCCTCTGGCAGACTGTGAAGTTGATCCACCAGACCACGCCCAAGACCTAAATGAACATAGTTCCCTTTGTTCAGTGGCTTGCTAATGCAGGTTCGAGGCGTTTGCAATAGCGTCCTTGGGTCTTTGGGTACTTCTGGGTGGTAGGGCCGCAGCATCCGAAACAACTTCTTGGTTGTGGATAGTGGCATTTGGGCCTCCAGGCAGAATTCCCGTAAATCCGCCAGAAAGCATTTGTCTGCGACCGCGTGCCCACTTATATCTACGGGTTCTAAAGTTGCTGTTAAATAAAACGGTAAGATCACTACCAGTGCAAACTTCTGGGACTAGTTCCGGCATTTCTAAATCCGGTGGTTGGTCTACCACCGACGACGTAGAGGGAACGGAGGGAGCACCCATCCGCGCATAATATGCCTTCTTCTCGCGCGCAATCCGCTTGTAAATTGTGCTTCGGTGAAAGCCATAATACTTGCGTTTCATGATTACTGTCACTGACGGGTATAGAACAATATGAGAAAGTTTAACTACACTTGAAACGTTCACTGTGAGACTAAAATCCCTTTAGAGTTAATAAACCTACGTACATAACATGAAATAGAATAATAATGACGTAAAAAAGATCATCAAGGCGCGATAGGCATGAGATAAACGTTGGACAACGTACCACTTCGTCGCGAGCGTCCGGTAGAGTAGCAGATAAATGGCGTCCAAGTGGCCCACTTAAACAAAAGTGTCCTAAACGGCTTATACGGGCAAACCTTCATCTCCCAAGAAGTGATGACTCAAAGCACTTTCTGAGTAAATAAACACACACTTCGGTAAATTTGGAACATTCCAACACAGAAGACGTCGTCTAAGCGGCAGAAACGACTCTTGAAATTTCTTAAAATATGCCGTGGCCATGGCCACATCCAGCCACGTTTGGCCACACCCACAAGGCGGGGCCACGTGTTGGCAGGGAAGCTTCTTTCCTTATGTAACCCACCTAGTAAATCTAAAACTCTTACCTTTGAGTTACAGGCAACTATGCGGGGATCTCTTGCAAAACTTCCGCATTGTTAAGGGGTTGGGTTGCAGTCTGGCCTTCGAGGACATTTTTGAATTTGCTACCACGACCAACCTCCGAGGACATCCACTAAAACTGCGCACTCAACAGGCAAAGCTAAATGTGCGGAAGTTCTCCTTCTCTGTTCGAGTGGTCAAACCATGGAATGCCCTTGCCGCAGATGTTCTGATTTCACCATCTCCACAAAGATTTAAAAAGAATCTGGATATATTTATGTTCCGAAATGACCAAGAGCGGTGAGAAGTAGAGCTCACCCCCTGTAACAAGTCCAATTTCTGTCCTCACATTACGGGCGTGTTTGAATTATTTCAGCCCAGAACATTTATATGTATACCACACGCTGTTTACGTTGCGAATAGCGTAATCGAAGGCTAACGCCTATTTCCCTAAATAACCTGACCTGGACTGAACTGAAAGGAGCCCCAGCACTCAGAATAACGAATAGTTTAACAGAACTAGATCGACCAAATCCTAATGTTCTGGCAATCTGAAGATTCTCCCAGATAGACGAAACCATATGACTCAACTGCACAAACTCCTGCTTTTCTAGCATTCAAATCTGTGTTTGTCTGGCGACACTACAAATACATTCATTTTTATCTTTCGACATTGCGCAGTGTGTAAACGTCTGTTTTTCCTCCACGAAAGTCCATTGGAGGTTCACCAAAGGATAGAGGGGTGTTATGTTGTTCATACTGCTGACAGGATAGACACCGTCTCAGTTAACACTAGAGAGTACCGTCCATGCAGAATCAACATCGTCTTGAATGGCAAATACAACAATAAGATAACCTACTTTGAATGCATACCGTCGCCAGATGTGCAACCCAAATCCTCTAGAGTGTCGTCACCGGAGTTATCTATTTCATTCATCCATCCAACTGTCAAACACAACAATCCCACCCAACCATGCCCACTCGTCTGACCCACCACCATCGCAGACCCCGTCTCGTCCAGGTAGACGTATTCAATGCCCAATAAAAATTAAGGCAATCAGTCATGTGACTTGCCGCATTTTATTCATTGTTTGGAACAGAAAATGATAAGGGCAAAAGCCCTCAAGGACTTTTCGCACTTCCTTCTTCCGTTTTCTAATTCATTGAGTCACTGGACATGTCTGCAATCTTGTTTTAATACACACGACACCTACAGCAATAGAAACGACGCGCGTGCTCCCATTTGCGTACCACTTTCCGTTGGGGCTTAACACAGCACATTTCCGTGGAAGTCGTCGTCAAACCGAGTTTTTGGAGACGATGGACTCCGC